CCTCATAAAAGGGCACTAAAATAGCACATCAACAACGTTTTGATCCTGGGGGCTCACAGTAACGAGGCCATTGCTTAGCCAATGAATCAGGACTGTACGCAGCGGGCGTAAGGGTACGTCGACGCCCCCACAAAACATAAAAACAAAGAAAATGCAATAAATGTTCAATAATTCATTTCATTTTGCCCCGACCCCCAACATAAACAAATCTTCTATGTGGGTATGCCTTGAACCATAATGCATGGCCCTACAGAGGAATTTTTTCTTTTTGGGACTAGGGAAAAATGCAATGAATTATTGAAAATGTACCCTAGCGCCGATGCGTACAGTCATGATTCATTGGCTAAGCAATGGCCTCGTTACTGTGAGCCCCCAGAATAAAAACCATGTCGATGTGTTATATAAGTGCCCTTTTATGAGGCATTAGTCCCCATTGCTGTCAGTTATGACTTAAGGACGTAGGTCCCTAGTTGATTAGCATAGTAGCACACACATGCTTTAGCAGTCACGCAAAACAAATATCCCCAATTGTCATTCAATAAAATCTGAGAATGTATACTATTTTCTAGATCTATTAGGAATAAATCATTGTCAAAACTATTCTACAAATTGGGGTAAAAATAATTATTCCACCATCATGACCAACATTGTAGATACCTTCTACATAAATCCACTTGGTTGGCTTATCTATTGATTGGGCGATTCATTGATTGATTAAATAATGACTGATTGATTGACTAAATGATTGAATGATTGATTGAGTGATTGATTAAAACAGGTATTGGGTGATACGGAGCTCAGTCATTAGAGTGACTCTGTAATATTGTTGAAGGTTGATGAAAAAAAGGTATTTTTGTATGAAATGTGACTTATTATATTCCTTCTACTGTACTAACCCTCTGACATGCAAAAAATCCTTTCAAAATCCTCAAACCACAAAGATATTTATATTGTTGTCACTGTACCCTCTAGCAGTAAATTCTACCAACCATTCTTCAAATTTTCCCAACCGTTTTTCCATAAAAATAAGACATCAGACAGGCTTTAAATATCTGTCAACACTTAAATGTCTGGAATGGTATATATAGAGCTTATTCATTGCTATGTGACGATTTACATTCACCTAAAATGTAATTAAATTGTAATAATATAGTTGGGAGAATTAAGGAAACGATCAGATCAGTTATTTCTAATTTTTATCATAATGATAAAAATTGGAAATAACTGATCTGATCAATTCCTTAATTATGGTCTGTTTTCACTCAAACTTTCAGATTATCTTTAATTGTACATTTAGCATTGAAGTCAATACCCAAGACCAAAATCCAGTTGAAACCAATTGGAGTAAAACCAATTGAAACCAGTTGCCAACTGGTTTCAATACTGGTTCCAATTGAAACCAGTTGAAACCAATTGCCAACTGGTTCCAGGTGCCTAATTGGTTTCAACTGGAACCAGTTGTTCCAATTTCCCTATTGAAACCAGTTGGCTTCAATTGGTTTCAATTGGTTTCAACTGGTTTCAATCGGTTTCAACTGGTTTCAATTAGTTTCAATTGGATCCAATTGAAACTTACAGTGGACATAACCCTAATTAGTTATAAGTTAATTAGCTCTTGCACTAATTATCGCTCATGTCAACACAGAAGCATTGTTATATGTGTCTACATTAAGTACAATGTAAAGGGCATTATAATATGCAGACCATATAATATACTTAACAATGTGTGTGTGTGTATTTGGTTTTACAGACGTGTATCAATCAGATATGATTATTTACGTCTGGGGACCGACCTTTAACGTCACCATCCGAAAGACGTGACTCAGTTTCGAACCTGCGTCCTCGGCTGAATCAGTTTGTAACTTCCACTGTAAGCTGGATTACAGGCGCACGCCACAATGCCTAGTTGGAAAGGAAACAAGGAAGGCATTGCCATTATATATGTTTGTATTTGATGTATTTTGTACATGGTTAGTGTTTACTAATCAACTTTTAATCTGTGTAATTACAAAAATATGTAACTAATGAACATGCTTATCATTGCTAATTAATCTTTATATTTATCTAAAACAAATGCATTACTTGCAAATGTAAATTAATTAATAAGTACATTATAAATCAAAATAAATTACATAAAACATTGATCTGCACACAAGCAGATAATATGCAAATTAACTGGTTTCAATTGGATCCAGTTGGGTAACTGGAAATATTTCCAATTGGAACCAATTGTGTAACTGGAAATGAATTCTAACTGGAACCAGTTGGGTAACTGGAAATTACTTCTAACTGGAAATGAATGCTAACTGGAACCAGTTGGGTAACTGGAAATGACTTCTAACTGGAAATGAATGCTAACTGGAACCAGTTGGGTAACTGGAAATGACTTCTAACTGGAACCAGTTGGGTAACTGGAAATGACTTCTAACTGGAACCAGTTGGGTAACTGGAAATGACTTCTAACTGGAAATGGATGCTAACTGGAACCAGTTGGGTAACTGGAAATGAATTTTAACTGGAACCAGTTGGGTTACTGGAAATGAATTCTAACTGGAACCAGTTGGGTAACTGGAAATGACTTCTAACTGGAAATGAATGCTAACTGGAACCAGTTGGGTAACTGGAAATGACTTCCAACTGGAACCAATTGGGTAATTTGAAATGAATTCTAACTGGAACCAGTTGGGTAACCGAAAATGACTTCTAACTGGAAATGAATGCTAACTGGAACCAGTTGGGTAACTGAAAATAAATTCTAACTGGAACCAATTGAGTAACAGGAAAATCATCTTACTGTTTCCAGTTGAACTTCTAACTGGAACCAGTTGGGTAACTGGAAATGACTTCTAACTGGAACCAATTGAGTAACTGGAAAAATTACCTTACTGGTTCCAGTTGCACTTCTTATTGGTTTGAATGGAAATGAGTACCCATAACAATATTTTCCAGTTCGGCAATTGGTTTCAACTGGAAATTTTATATCCAATTGAAACCAATTGAAACCAATTGAAACCAGTTGAAACTGTAGCGGCTCTTACATTCGCCCTACTTACATTCGTCCTACTTTCACCGTACATTCATGTCTCCTGTATTTTTCCATCACGGTACTATATTCATTATTCGGACCACGTGTGTTCATTCCTCCAATCGAGCATCGTGGTTCCGCGCATCGTTCCCCCGCGTATTTTCAACTCCACGAGGTTTTTCTTCACTCCCGCTTTCACCTTGGTCGAGTCAAGACGTCTCCGTAATTTCCTCTCCACGCTGTATTCTTCTGTGCCTGTCGTCTATTCTACGGCACGTCAACTCTTTCTCTGCCGTGTTCATCGGGCTGCAGTCTCCCAGTGGAACGTTATAGTCAGGACCGACATGGCGCCTGACTCTCCGCTGGGAGCTGCCAGTTTCTTCGTTCCGGTAGCTCTTTCCACTCACTAGCTCATCATTTCACCGCAGCTCATCTAAACATTTCTTCATCAAAGTCCGGCGCATCAAACGAGCAACTATTACTACTCAGCACCAGTGCCGGCTTTGCATGTCTACGTTTCTACTCTTTGCCTCCGACATCAAGCGATTCACTGCTTCGTCGTCGAGCGCCACATCTCTCTCTCTTCTTCTTCTCGCCTGAGAGCTTCTTCACTATCTTCATCACGGACGTCAGCGTCGAGATTCTTCACGGCTCTTCAGCCACGACTACGAAGCTTCATCTCCGCCTTCAAGCCTCCGCAGCATTCATCGCGTGAGCCCCTTCCTTCGTTTTCATCTCTCTTCATCTTCATTGGACTTTCGACGCCATTTCTATTCTGTCGTAAGCTTTCATTCATTATGTACATCGCATTTATTCATGTTCATTCTCATCCTTAATCATTATGTAATCTTCGTGCAATATTCACATTTTCAAGTCTGCTACTTTTGCTTGACTGCACTTTGCAAGTGCATTGTCAGCTTTGTTCAGTACCCAATAAATTAACGAAAAGGGAACACTTTCTTTCTTGTATTTTATTGTCAGTGCAACCTTGCTTCCTCGTAGCTAAAATAAAAATAAGAGTTATGTTGTGTGACGAGTGAACACGCACAATACCTCACACTCATATCTCTAAAAAACCAATTGAAAGCAGTTGGAGATTTCAACTGGTTTCAATTGGATTTTGGTCCTGGGTACCTTAGCAACAATTTCTTTCATCTGAACAATGTTACCAAGTCCATTTAATGAAAAATATTTGATAAGAATAGAAAATTGTGGTAAATAAACTCTCAAGGTGACATTGTTTAAAAGGGTAAAACAGAGTAAAACAAAATATATTAAAATATGCAATATGATTAGCTGAGCTTTAATAAAGGAAAATTAGTCATGGCAGGTACTGTCTTTTAACCCTATTTAGCCCGGGGAGGGGGGGGGCTTTAGAAGCCCCCCCCCTCGACATTTTTCGCGATAATTTTTTAACGCAAGAAAATCTTGCACTGAAATTTTGTGACTTTTTTCTTTCGAGTCTTGCGCATCTTTTGAAAGAAATTTTTCGAAAATCGGACGTACCATTACAAAGTCACGTGTCCTTTTGTCTTTGCATGTCAGCCCAAAAATCGCTCATTTTTGTGATTTGTGTACAAAACATATGGAAATCTCATTTTTCAAATAAAGAGATAAAACATTGGTTATTTGGTCTTGTTTATAGTTTAGGTGTTTATTTTGGGTTTAAAATAGTTGAATTATAGTTGGAAATGAAATAAAACAACAAAAACAATAAAATACATTAGTTAAAAAAAACAAGGAAATACATAAGAAATTATCAAAACAATAGATAACATAAGGAATAATCCTGGTTTTTCAATTTTTAGTGTTGTATTATTATTCCAAATAGTCTAACAAATATATGTAGTGAGAAAGAATGCTTAAATATGAATAATGTCTGATTTATGGGCAAAAATGTGAATTTGATGACCTTATTTGCATAAATTACCATAAATATACGGCCGAGATCATAGTGGGGGGGGGGGGCCTTAGAAGCCCCCCCCCCCCCCCCTGGGCTATGCAGTTTCAAAATAGCCCGGGCTAAATAGGGTTAAAATAAAATTGACCTATAATATGGCAAATCACTTGACCCTCTGATAACTACCAAAATATGTTGATTAGTGATTCTGGTTCTTCTGGAGTACTTCCGGAGTACCTTCTTATGAATTCCAAATCCTCTCCTGACACTCCTGGGGGGCGTTTCACAAAGCCTTTTTTCAATGACAAAAATCAGTGACAAATCTGCTGATAACCAATCAGAAGCAAGGATTTCAGTAGCTTATAACACAAACTGTCATTTGTCGCTGATGACAAGTTTTGTGAAACGTCCCCCTGCTATTACCATGTCTTTATGAAATTGCAGATATTTCAGAATGCACAGAACCCTCTGGTGGAAGTTCAACAATATTCATATATTGTATAATCAAATTGAAAATACAAATTGGTCTTCAGCTGAATGGAACACCAAGTCTTCTTGATATACATAGACAATTAAAAGTTTACATTTACATGTATTACCACCAGGATGATGGTGCTGAGCTTCAGCTTTTCTTTTCTTACAAACATTCTCGAACCATTCTCGATCAGTTCTGCCTTCGTCATCATCTTCAAGCAGAAATACATCCTCTTCCTTTATAGGGAAAGACAATCTGAGCACGTCCATCGTAGGACATTTCCCAAATTCCACAACAACATTAATCTGATCCCTAGCTGTCAAAAGTTGTGTTGTATCTCCAGAGACCTCAAGCACTTGAATCTTGGTGCTAGAACAGCCAGTCGAGCAGCGACACCTTGAATTCGGCTCAGGTTGCAGTGTTCTAGATCAAGCTCTACCAGGTTGTTAGCTACATTCCTGATAAGACTCTCCGCTGCTTCCCAGTTGCGCCCAAAGTCATAGTTATCTCTCAAGAGCAGATGCTGCAGGCCTCGGGTATGATGAGATCCAGAGAGATACTCAATGTCCTCTTTAGAAAGCATACAGCAGGTTGCATCAAGGAGGGACAATGACTGCTCCATGGGGCTAAGTATATCTGCTAATTTCCGGGTTATACGATTTGCAGATAAATTGAGGTATCTGAGGTGGGGAAGACGACGGAGAGTAGACGCTAGCTCCTTGACTGCTGAGTCACCATGTTCATTCGTAAAGTTCAGGGTGTTAAACCTAAGACACAATGTGGTGAGTGCTGGGAACTGTTGAATAAGGTCCAAGATCCTTTTGAGACCCTCATTTCTAAGGCTATTGTAGCTCAAATTAAGCTCTGTTGTTCTCTGTGAAACGTAAAAGAGAAACTGATTTTGTAAATGGGTATACAGTCAAACTTGTCTTAGTGGCCACCTCTCTAAAAAAAGCCACCTGTCTACAATGGCTTCCTTTTGCGTTTCCCTGGGGTGGTCTTAATAAACAGGTTTTACTGTGCATGTATAAGTATAGCTTTAAATGCATGACTGTAAATAGAACAATTAGGTACCGTATTTGCCGGCGATAAGGCCGCAGTGCCGTAGTACAGATTGCCATCTAATGTAGGCGAGGAACTTCAAAGGAACTTCAAAGAAATTGTGTCTTCTAACTGGACAAATTTGTATATATCTATCTTTATTTTGGTAGTGATCATTTTCTGATGTGATATCGTGTTATTTTACTTCATCCCATGACAATTAAGATACGGACGAACCGTTACCACGGTATACCTGGAACTTCTTCATTTAAGTATAAACTTCCGAAAGGAATTACATGTGACAGCATATATTTTGCTCTGGAAGTTATTTTCAAGGCCCACGAATCAGTTCCTGAGGGGCTTGCCACTACAGACTTTTATTTAGGGGAACTAACTCAAATCTACCCCGAATTGAATGTCGAAATTTGCCGCCATTTTGTCCTTGTCAAGGAAACAGAACGTGGTAACCGCTCAAGTGTGTCACTATCAAACAACGAAGACAATCATGACAATAGCTCTATTGTCAGCGTTACGTCGTCTCACCATGGAATTTCAAGAGATGGGCGCTGCTTGATGTGTGACTTAAAATGTAACGTAAAAGAACGAATATGCATGAAATGTAAATGTGTGCATCAGAGAATCGACCAATTATCAAGTGACATGAAAGAAGTGAAGCATGCTATTGAAGCACTTCTTGATGTCCCGCGTCTAAAGGAAAAGTCAATCCCATCAAATCATCGCTCTCCAAACGTCACCACATCATCATCGATACGACCTCCACAATATTCGACATCGACATCGGTCCAACCCCCTCAAATCTCACAACCTTCGCCACCTGGCACTTCTAGCCGTCCTCTTCGTCATCCATCTACTCGGCCTATCCCTTCTCAACCACCACTGCAACCATGGCAACAAACCTATCGCCCTCCATTGGATAGCTTCCCACCAATTCGCTCCACACAGACAGCCTCTCTACAGCCACCGTTGCCATACCAACCAACGCCACCATTTCAGTACATCCAGTCACGTAATCGCACACACCCCAGCCACTCCCACCAGAAGAAAAGGATAGCTTCCCATCAATTCGCTCCACCCAGCCAGTCCCTCTTCAGTCAACGCAACGTACATCGTTTCCATATCAACAGACGCCACCATTTCAATACACCCAGTCACGTGAACGCACACACCCCCAGTCACTCCCACCAAGACAACAATACAACATGCCAATGAACCATCGCTCGACTTATGCTTCAGTAGTCAGTGCACCAACATCACGTAATCTAAGTCGCGCATTTCAAGGATGTGAATTCTGTGGAGAACCGAACCACCGCGCTCATTTCTGCCGACATGGGGCTCCACTCCAGTGCCGCCAGTGTCTGCAGACTGGTCATAAACTAAGATATTGCCCCTACTACTAATATGGTGGCCAAGAAGAGAGCGCCTCTAATAAATGTCATATGTCAAACCAGGATACTAATGTCAATATTATACCAGATATTTCTTCCTTCAAGAAAAAGTCTACGAACCATTTTTCACAACAACTCAATCTTATAAATGGTAAAATCCCTAAACTATCGAAAGGAAGTCTATTTTTGCATTTGAATATCAGAGGTTTGGTAAATAAGATTGATTTAATACGATACCTTTTGTCTAATAATAATATTGATGTTCTTTGTTTTAACGAAACTTTTTGTGATTCTTCTATATCCGATAATGAAATATCGATCGACAATTTAAGAGTTGAACGTAAAGATAGAACACGCCACGGTGGAGGAATAGCTATTTATATATCAGATAAGATTTTTTATACCAGAAGATACGATTTGGAAAGTCTGGATTTAGAAATGATATGTATTCAAATTACTTTACCTTTTCAGAAAAGCATGTATTTTATTAGTATATACAGATCTCCGTCATGTGATGTTTCATTTTTTGAAAAACTTGAAGCAAGGTTGGAATCAATATGTTCTTCAGGTTCTTCAATAGATGAAATACTTGTTTTTGGAGATTTTAACTGTGATTTTAGTAAATTAAAAGATACACGTTTATTTCACAAACTAGATTATTTGACGAGTTCGTACAACTTTATTCAATTAATCGATATTTTTACGCGCGTTACGAAAAACTCCGCTTCCATTATTGATCTCGCTTTTACAACTCGTACTTCAAAAATTGTCGAACATGGATGTATAATGACTTCTCTTAGTGATCATTACATGGTGTATGTTATTCAAAATTTGAATTCAAGACAGAAAAAGTCTCTACCTAAAACTGTTTCCTTTCGCTCTTTAAAAGATTTTGACGATCAGGAATTTTATGATCTTTTAGAATCTGCATCTTTGTCAAATTTATGTGACATTGACGACGTTAATGTTTTCTGGAGAACCTGGAAATTAATTTTTACCTCTATTGTAAATAAAGTTGCACCAATAAAATCATTTCGTGTTAAAGATCAATCGCTTTCGTGGATAACGTCACATATTAGAACACTGATGAAGAAAAGAGATAATATTCATAGAAAATTATTGAAAGTAAAGAAAAAGATTTTATTGCAAAAAGATTCCCATTTAAATACAATGTGTGAAGAATTATGGTCAAAGTACACCAATCTAAGGAATGAGGTCAATATATCTATGTTTAAAAGTAAAACTGAATATTTAAAGAAAGAAATCAAGAAAAATGTAAACGATGTTTCAAAGATGTGGAAATGTTTAAAGTTATTATTACCAACAAAATCCTCATCATTTCCTTCCATTCTTTACGACAATGATATGGTGTTTAATAACGATGACGCTATTGCCAATGCATTTAATGATTATTTTATTCGAATAAATGCTAAGCTCGCGCAAGAGATGAATGTCATACAAGCCGACGAACATGATATTGGGGATGTTTTTAATTGCTATCCTTCCAATTATGTTTTTAACTTTGTTTCCACCAATGAAAGCTATGTTGAAAAATTGATTTCAAACTTGGATTCTAACAAAGCAACAGGGTCTGATGATATTAATATTATCTTCCTAAAAAAGTCTAAAGCTTTTATTGTACCAACCATTACTCAATTGGTTAATTTGTCTTTTTCAACAGGAGTCTTTCCCAATGATTGGAAGTATGCAAAGGTTTTTCCGTTTTTCCGTTATTCAAAAAAGGCGACATTAACAATATTGGTAAATTTCGTCCAATTTCCATCTTACCTGCAATAAGTAAACTTATTGAAAGGACTGTTCATCAGCAATTGTATGATTATTTAATAGAACATAATATCCTCAGTAAGACGCAGTTCGGGTTCCGGCCAGGTCATTCTACAGCCTCGGCTCTTGGGGCTTTAACAGACAGTTGGTTACACTGCATAGATAAAGGCCTCATTGTAGGGGCTCTTTTTATTGATTTAAGACGAGCTTTTGATACGGTTAATCCAGATATTTTGTTAAATAAGTTAAAGAAAATAGGTTTGAGTAAGTTATCATTAGCTTGGTTTGACTCGTATTTAAATAATAGAAAACAATATGTTGCTATAAATGATTCTAAATCAACTGATCGCTGTATTTCTGTTGGAGTTCCACAGGGATCTATTTTGGGCCCGCTCCTATTTTTGATTTATATAGATGATATGTCAGAAGTTTTGAAACATGGAAAAATTGTAATGTATGCCGACGACACGACACTTTTTGTAAGTGGACCCACCTTTTCGGATGTACAAATTAAATTGCAAAGTGATTTTAATGTTATATGTACATGGATAAAATGTAATAAACTCTATTTGAATGTTGATAAAACCAAATTTATGATCATCGGAAGTAAACAAAGATTAAACCATTTTAAAAATGACAGTATTACATTAAAATATGAAGATATATGTGTTGAACAATGTAAGATCTTTAAATGTCTAGGTATTATGATCGATGAAAACATATTATGGTCTGATCATGTAGATTATTTATGTAGAAAAGTGTTTGCCGGACTTGCCATGCTTAGAAGAGTTAAACCATATGTAGATGACATTTCATTGAAATTATTATACACATGTCTCATACAATCACAAAATGATTATTGTTGTGAAATTTGGGGAAACAGGTTTTTAAGTCATATAGATAAGATAACTAAACTAACTAAACAAAAGAGGGCTGCAAGAATGATTTTAAACTGTAATATGTATACCCCATCAAAGGAATTATTTACTCGCATGAATTGGATACCATTTCAAGAGAGGGTTAAATATTTTAGATGTATATTTGTTTTTAAATGTCTTAACGATTTATCTTCAGACTTTCACAAAGATGTTTTTCAAGAAGTATCAACTCAACATAATTTTTACACACGGCAATGTACTCGTCATGACCTGATTATTGATAAATGTCATACTGAATACCTTAAGAATGCAATAAGTTATGATGGTGCTTCTCTATGGAATAAATTACCTTCTAATATTAAGCAGATAAGTAATGTAAAGACCTTCAAATTGGCACTTAAGAAATATTTTTTCCACCTTGCTGTTGAATCAGGATAGGTTTTGAGGAACACCTTTTTTTAATTATTTTTTACTGCTAGTCTGCCTCTATTTTTCTTTAAGCTCTCTCTCTCGCTTCTTTTACTTAATCCTTTACTCTCTTAGCAAGTGATCTATTTATACTAGCATTCATCATAATTGACACTGATTAATATGTTTGATATTGTATATTTATTTTCAATATGTAATACTGTTCTATTAATGTATTCATACCTAATTGTTTGTTTTATCTTTTTAATTGTATATACATGTTTTACAGGGCCTCATGGAAGACCAACTTTTTGTTGAATGAGCTACCCTGGTGTAATATAAATAAATAAATGAAATAAAATAAATAAATAGGCCGCACCCCCGATTTTGACATTTAAAAAAAAAAAAAAAAAAAAAAAAAAAAAAAAAAAAAATCATTTTTTTTTTTTTTTTTTGTTGTTGTTGTTTTTGTTGCCGAAAACCCACGCGGGGAAGGACCTTCATTTAACATCGAGGTGCAGTTAAAGGCGCTGATTTGTGCTTGTAAACTTGTCACAAATAATAGTAACAATGTCGTTTTTAGAAGAATGTGTAAGATCATTAATGTGAATTAAAAACAATAGAGTACTAGGTCCTAGGATAGAACCTTGTGGTACACCATTTGTTATATACAAAAAATTGAGGAATTATTATTATAAACTACATATTGAGATCTATTAGAAAGATTACTTTCAAACCAAGATGACAGACAAATTTTAGTGTTGTTGTAGTTTCCGAGTGGTGAGTCAACACACTGATTACTGAGCTGGGAGACATTGCCAGGCATAGCGCCATAAATCGTAACTAAAAAAAAAAAAAAAAAAAAAAAAAAAAAAATTTTACTCTTTCGCCGCATAGGCCGCACCCCGACTTTTTGATATTTTCTCTTCCAAAAATACTGCGGCCTATACGTCGGCAAATACGGTATACAAAACTTAGACCCAAATTTAGATCTCATAAGACGCCCTGAACAATACCAACTTAGGATTGGACCCATGACTTTTCATATGCAGTCAAGAGCCTCACTCGGTGTGTTACAAATATATTGAATATTCATATTAAAAATACATTAAAAATAGGTTAATGTTGTGCACATGCACGTTAGCTGTGAGTTGGTGAATGGAAGAGCAATTAAAGCACCAAGTTTGGATAAAACTTGGCTTATTTTCCCTGATGTTTAATACTTTTTAAATTTTCTTGTGTTAGTGAGGTGCTGGAGATGATCCTTAACTATTGTAGAAACATATATTTGTATAAAGTACACCGCAGTGCTCAGTTGCTCACAATAGTTGCTTTTCACAAAAAGGCAACACACTGGAATGACCGGATGCATTTTATTTGGTCAAACAAACAAAAAGGCACATGGGACCAGTAGATATGAGGTTACCAAACAATAAGAAAAAAGCTGCAGATAAAGGTGTTGAAAAGGTATGAAATTTAACACCAACAGCATACTAAGACACTCATGTCGGGTTATCTAAAGTTGAAACAAATTGTACATAGTTCCAGGTATAATACAAATGCACAAATCAGTATCCATGTGTGCTGTAATTCATTCATGATGAAAACTGGAATCATGAAAGGCAGAAATTTCATACCTGGTCTGTTCAGCTTTCTTGGCTGATGAATAATTCCAAGTTTGTATCAATATCTATGCAGAGTCTATCTCTTCCTAAATTGCCATTATGTAACAGCTCACCTCTTTTTCAATCAAATCCAAGACCCTCTCCACAAGATCTGTACCACACAGGTCTATCCTGAGCCGTTTGCTGCGGACGTGTATATTGGCAGATTGGAGCTGCTTACTTTTCTTGAAGAAGGCTTTGATCTCTTGTCCAGTAACCCTTGAATTCATCAGGATCCTCAGTTCTCGGTGCTCTGGCAGAAAAAGATTTTCAGTGCACCTTTTAGGTATATTCAAACAGACGTGGTCCATATATAACAAATGAAACACTCCACAACAGGGTCCTAGCAAACAATAAACATGTCCAACACTGCAAAAATATTTCTTTTCTTTCTGGAGCTCAGTTAGGACTTGGTGTTGTGAAGGTGCACTTTACACAGTAATAAAAATCTTTAATTTTTCCTCTTTTATTTTGTACCAGAGCTCTTTTCCAGTTTACCAGAGCTATTTTTTGAGCTTTCAAGAGCTTAATTGCTCATGCTCTCTCTTTTTCCCTGCTGATATACAACATGGTTATATGGGGATTTAAATACATGCATTACCTTCAGAACGCCGGACCTCAACAACTCCCCAGCAATAGCTTACTGTTGCTAACAGGTCACTACCGTTAATCAAGCTACACAATGTATGAATGTATGCATGGGAGTGTGGGAATACATGCACCACATAGTACACACTGGTCAATATTTCAACCTTTTAAAATCACCCGTTTTTTTTCTTAAATATTCATGTCAGTTGAAATTTGTGACACCAATTATCCAATGATGACTGATACTATTTATACTCTACAGGCAGATCAATAAATGAGACATTTCAGAATAAATTCAGAAGACATTTCACAAGAAAACAATATGGAGAAATGGATCACCTTTAGATGCTACACTCCTGTGTTTCTTCACAATGTCTTTTGTCGCAGCTTGTCTACCTTTCAGTAGAGTATTCAAAAACAAGTTGTTTGTTCTGTCACCTAAAGAGAGACGAGAGAAAGGGTGAGAAAGGGAGGGTGAAAGAGAGAGAAAGAGAGAGGGATGGCGAGAGAGAAAGAGAGAGAGAGAGAGAGAGAGAGAACATGAAAGATATATGGGGGAGAATGAATGTAGAGAGACCGGGAGATAGAGAGATAATTAATGATGTGTATGAAGATAAAATGCAAAGAAAATTTGTGCTATTTGTATGCATGAATGTACTCCAATGTAAGAAAATTGAATTACAAATATCCTTGTGTTGTTTGTGACATATGCAAACCTAATTCATAATTTGCTAAATGAGAGAGAATACATCAAACATTTTCATCATTGCCACGACTCTCCTTAAAACAAATATAAAAGGAAAGTTAATATTCTGCCGATGGGATGGATATCCAAGCTTTGCACCCACCAACAGATTCTGCTTCAACTTTTGCAACTATCAAAGTTTTTATTAAATGCAATTTAGAGTTGCAATAGACTTTTAAAAATTCCATTTATAACCGCTTTTATCATGACCCATACGAGCAAAACTGTTATTTAATTAATGCTTACTGAGGTTGAGTGAGGTGATGTCAATGTCTTGAATTCTGCTCTCTTTCTGCTCTGATATAGCAATAGCTGCAGCTAGAGCAGGATGGTCATGCTGTTCATTAGGCCCTCGGATGCTGGGTAAACTGATTGAAATAAGAAAAAAAAAAACTGTACAGTACTACAGTTAACATAACAATCTCTTGAACAGATTTGATTAAAGTACAGACACGTGGTCATCTTCTACATGTAGATTATCTGTTAATTAATGGAGTTTGGGTTTATCATCTATCATCATCATTTATTAAAGTCAGCATTTTCCCTCCTACGAGGGGTTACTGACTTTCACCCAATGACCCATCATGACACTCCCTCCTTCCACTACTTGTCTCGACTATCAAGCATCCTCTTCATTTAGACCAACCATACTACTTTCTTTCTTCACTGTATCTTTCCATTTCTTATTTTATCTCTTTGAAATATAATATTTTCAATCACAAACCTTTTCTCATGTTATATATTATATATATATAATATATATATATATATATATATAATGGTTTATTTATTTAAAAATCACATTGCAGCCCAAAGGCTGAATTGCACGATTTTTTTTACAAATCTTTGACATAAAAACAGATTATAATGAACATTGTAAAAAGCATTACACAAAATAATAACTGCATACATGTACAAAATTAGTAACGCAATAATATACAACTAATATTCTTTTACATTTTAAACCGACATAGCTAGGATTATCAGATGGTATAAAGGCACATAGATTAATAGATGATCAGATTGAGAGAGGGAGAGAGAGAATCAAGAAGGGAGAGAAAAAAGGTGGGAGTCAGAGAGGAAGAATTAGTGTTGGAAGAAAAAATACCATAAGGTAAAAACTAAGAATCAGGAGTAACGAAAGCCAGAAATAAGGCTTTAGGTATGTGTTTTTGAATGCTTCATCGTCAGATGAGAGAGCAAACCAGGTACAACGAATACATGATATATTGATATGTGAATATTGTTAAATTAAAATACAATTCATCATTTAAAAAGGTTGTATGCCTAAAATAATACTTAAAAGTGAAATTAGATAAATTATACTTGTACACTATACAGAGTCCACAAATAGATACAACTAGGCTATTATTTACATTTAAAACATCATATATATACATGTAGAATGTAGGATGCGATAGGCAATACAACAGCAAAGGCAGATGTGTATATCATATGTATATGAAGTGGGAGAGCGAGAGAGAGAGAGAGAGGGGAGGAATAAGATAGAAAAGGTAGTATGTGAGAGAAGGAATAACAGAAGGAGAGAAAGAGTAATATAGTAAAAGAGAGAAAATGGAAGGAGGTGAAAGAAAAAGTCAAGATTCATCAATATCCAAATCTAAGGTATGTGTAAACCGAACATCATCCCTAATAACTATATGCATCGATAACAATGCTCACTAATATCCACAATCTTGATATCATCAATGAATTTTAGCAAAACAAATTCATCCAAGGCAACCATATGCTTATTACATGTAGACTTTTCATGAGGTATTGTTTAGAATGTCAATCAAGAAAGGGATAGGGCTTATTCTGTACTTTTCTGTCCTACAGCGCATTTGTTGGTAGTGGGTTTTATTTCTAAGTGATCCAGACATAAAGTACATGAAGCAGGAGAAAATGTGCAATGAAATAAGCAACTTTCTTTTGAAACCCCAAATTTGGAGCAGAATGTAATCAGAAATGCTCTTGATAGAAATTATTCAGCAGACAAACAAAGTAGGCCTATAAAGTGAATTGAATCCTCTTTACACCGATTTCAGTCGCTCTCTATTCATTGAGTCCTTTGATTTGGGGCCATAGAGCTACCGTATCTCCATCCACTTGAATGCGAATGTTAGTTATTGTGGCCCGTTAAAAGTGACTAGAACTGGAACGGCATACTCCCCAGGAAGTGGAAAATGTGCTCTGATATCTAGCATAATAACCCGGTGGGGTCACTCCCCTGCAAAGAGTGACACGTATGACCGTTACCACCAATGCATATAACCCCCTTTTGCGGTCAATTTCAAGGACATTTTGTGAAATTTATTCCCATTTTTTACGTCAAAACAAGGACAAAATCGTACTTTGGAATACCCCTATTTATAAGATTGTAAGGACACTTTCGCAAATTTACCCCTATTTTACCATTTTTCATGGACAAGACTCGGCCCGAGAGTTTTTCTTCCCGGTTTTCTCTTTTCCCTTTTCCTGACCCCTATTTATCAATTTCGGGGACACCTGTGCCCCCCTATTTTCTTTATTTCGAGGAATATTTAATTGTCCGCGGACATTGTTTGAAATTGACCCCTTTTCCCGCGATTTTGGTAACGGTCATGCGGTCCGGAAGTCACATTGAGTGACCCCACCGGCATAATAAACTTAAACTTATTATCATCCTTAACTGCCAAGTGGTGTGGGGGGATCATGTTTATTCATGCAATATTTAAAGTACATATCATCCACTTACTTTGAAAAGTGTTGAAGGGTTGAAAAGTTGAGTGAAGCAAATGGCCAGGCCCCAACAATAGCTTTGGTAGAAACAGCCAGACCCCTTTCTAAACTCGCTGCCAATAAAACAGGATACAGATGATGTGGAATGACCTTGAGAGAATACAAGGTCAGGTTCAAGTTCCCAGTCACTTTCAGGGCAGCAGCATCAACAAGCGAAAGAAGATCATGTGCCCTTCCTGAAAAGCTCTCCACTTTCAGCATGGACTGATTTTCACCAAGTGAGCGAGCTTTGAATAGATGACATGCCATGTTCCTAAAAATGTGCAAAATAATGATAATAATAATAAATATAAAGACGGGAGTTGCTGCTACCTTGAGTTTGAGTTTGAGTTTATTGATTTCACATTTCACATGCAGAAATAATACAGATAACAAAATATACAAATATTGTTTGACAACTAATATCATTTAAAGGAAACCCAGATAAAAGTACAAACTGTGAAATGTGCAGGAACCTATAGAAAAGCAGAGCTTGTAAAGAATAGGTTCCTGGGCGACTTGAAAAATAACAGGGACAGAAAATGTTTACAGTAGAGAGAGGTACACAATTAAAATTAAGACGGTAGTAGTTTGACAAATAGTTGTTTGCGAGTTCAATACAATACAATACAGAAAAAAGAAAGAAAAAGAAATACATTAAACCGAAGAGTAGTAACGAGCCAATAAATAGCAGAGTACAATGTATGCACCACACATGTTTGCACCACCTGAACGTTTGGCGTTCAACAATAAGGGATAGAGCAACGTCGATCTGACGTTGCTCAGTGGCTGACAGGCTCACGATCAATTGGGCAAAAAAGAATTTCCATTTTCGGTTTAATAAAATTTGGTGTGGACTTCAAAAGATTATTATTATATAGACTAGACTAGACTATACAAATATACACTGTCTTGAGAAGTTCTGGTTAAAGCTATGTGCAAGCCGTGACTCCAATAGTACTATTTGCCGAGGGCACAGATTCAAAGCAAATGGTGATGATGATGATAGATGATGAACTTATTAAATTAAGATTTGAAGAAAAAAAGAAAAATAATCTAAACCCTGGCTGTATTCCTGCAGGTGTTGTGTGGTTGTCAACTTAACCATCCTCTCGTGGAAGATGCACTCTCCCTGGTATGGGTGCCGTTTCCAACAAGACCGTGGCAGGTCATTAATTGCCACTGATTTGTTCCACTTGGATGGTAAGGATAGAGTACTTACTAATTGCAGATGTAGACTATATTCCAAGTAGATCTACGGCCAATTGTCAGCAAAATCCAAGGACGAGCAATTACTAATTAGCAACAAGTGCCTGTGCGGCCAGAAGAATAACAGCCCTTAAATTTCAATATTTTTAGGGCTCTGTAGGGCACATTCCTATATTACAGCACAAATAGGAAGAATTGGAAAGGGCACAAAAAATCTCCAAAAAGAGTCCAAGGCCAATGAGAGGGGCATTGAGGCCACTCAGTCTCAAAGGGGCATCCACGGCCATGGTCTTGGTGGCCTTGGATTAATTTAAGCCCTGGAATAATTCTTCACAGGAGTGGATGTAGACCGAATTTTTCTGTCTCTTTCGTTCGTTAGCCTCTGATTTGGGTACGGTCGGCTCTCTCTTGACTTTGGTCTAGCAGTCTAGAGTGGATGTTAGATCTAAACTTGTTAGATCTAGACCTATATGCATAGACTAGATCTAGACCTACTACACCTAGGTCTAGATCTACATGTACATGACATGATGTAGTATGTACGTGATAAAATGTGTAGACTAGATAATAATGATTGGATAAACTCTTTAAATTACCAAGCTTCTTGTCTCTAGCTCTCTGGTGGAAATGACTTGTGGTCTGATGAATTTATTCGTCAAGGCCATAAGGCCCGGAGCTCATATCTCCTAAAACTTTATGCAGCATTAGGCTACTACTTGAGAGGGTCTCACGTACGTCCGGGCACCATGCACTGCACCACTGCACTGCACTCCCGATCCCCTCTAGCTTGCGCTTACCACCAGTGCACACACAAGACGCTCGCGGTGGCCCGCCGCGCAAAAACATGTACGGTACGCGTATATTGTACCGTACGTTTCGTTTTCGAGTTCATTCCAGTTATTAGTCAAACTTACAACTTACCACACTGATTAGTACTAAAGTTAGATCTTGTAGCTTTCATGTACCGGTACAATACGAGAGGCGAAAGACGCGGTGCAAAAGGAACTCTTAGGCCTACCCTATTTGCAAGTTGAAGAAGAAGAAGAACTATCTCTACGATCTACTGGCCTCATCTTTGATCATGTTTACGAAATTTCACGATAGGGCTTGGTTCCTGTGTCTGGTGATATGGCTTGGACCAGGCGATGGGGATGGGCATACCGCAGCCAACGTAACGGGGCTGGAGTCGGGGGAACATGCATCTGGTAGAACGGGAAGACATGAGGAATCCGTTGGCTGGTCGTCCTTTGAGCAAGCAAAAGATAAAGTAGCCATGCTGGTTGAATATCGTGAACATGTTCGGGACGGTATTTTGCAAGGTTAGTGAGAGACTGGATCACGACATTACTCATATTCATAACATATTTACTATTTAGACTCAGAATTGATCTAGAGGGTAGAGAGTAGAGTAGAGTAGACTCGAGCCGAAAGCCAAAGCCAAAGAGCTGAAGAGGTTGAAAATGAATTCTCACAGAATCAAAAAAAAAATTACACTGAATGTTCAAAAATATGTAGGGCCTAATAGGAGTGGATAAGGAAGAAGGTAAGAAATTCACCAACTGAAATAAGAAGACAAATTCAAACTGTTACGCTACGAATATAGGTCTAAATGTAAATGCCAAACAATTTTGGTAGAAAATGTATACTGGCCGAGTAATGAGCATAGAGAAGGAAATCGACGCTTGTTCAGAAGCCTATCCAAAATTTGACCCGTAACTCCGGCGTGGAGATACCATACTAAAACATACCCAAAATGAAGTAAATATTCATTACCGGTAAATGTCCAAATAAAGATCATGAGTTAAAAGTCGTTATGTTTATTACCTGTTTCGTGTCAATTTTCTTGTTATTTTTGGAGTATTTTTCAGATAAATGTTGATATTGTGGCGTTGGCGATCGAGAGGACACCAATCACATCATTTTATGGTGATATTTTCAGGCACCAATGAGCCCGATGAGGTGACAGCATTTTGTTTCTGTTGATAAATTCTCAATAACATGCAATTCCCAAAATTCACAAAAATAAAGCCCTCGTGAAAATAACAGCTTAGACCCTATATAAACTCTGACCTATGATAGCATTTAAATACTTATAATGTCAATTTTACAAATATCAGTATGAACAAATAAATTGCAACAACTCACCAACCTGTTACGTACCTCCTATTTTTCCTTTTCAGACATGAAATACACCGTCTCTATAAAAAATGATGGACCTGTGATTTTAGGCTCATTTGCAACTTTCGTGGCCACAGTCAAAGCCAATCCGTCCAGATCTAAGGATGGAAAAGGTAATCTCATGTTCACGTGGACTGGTCCTCCCAGCTATCTCCCACAGTTAATGTTTGGTCCTGGTCCCTGTACTATAGAGATTCCATTTGATATGAAGTTGAAACCAGGAGAGATGAGAGATGACCATTCAATGTACAGTTCATGAAGTGGATGTAATTGGCCATTCAGGGGAATTGGTTGGAAAGTCAAATTCAAGCATTCAAGTCACAGGTAAGTTATCTCCTTTTTTAATTAATTACTATAGAGAACCTCAGTTTTATCATACTTTTCTCAAAAAATCTATGTAATGTACATGTAAGTGATAAGGAAAATATACAACTGTATTATCGTTCAGGCATTTCCTGCAATGAGTTTATTTTTATTGTTTTGGTTCCAATGCTCGTTCATTTGTGTATTCTTCTCCTGTAATGTAGTAGGGGATATTTGCATGGAGCTCTTTTCTGTTTTTTGACACTCCCGATGGTCTAATATCATGAGTCTTCATTTTCATGTCCTTGTGAAAAAATAAATATCCAGTCTCTTTGAAGTTAGCTGACAAACTCTAAAAAGGACTAAAAATGGATGTATTGGTAGCTGCCAGCTGGTTAAAATTGACTGACAGGCTAAGTCCATTCCAAAATAATTTGCTTTTAATATGTGAAGAATACATAGAGAAACAGAGCAAAGTAAATTTGAGTAAAATCGGATAACGAATAAGGAAGTTATGAAAAAACTATGGAACTTAGAAAATCACTACACAAATTGCCAATTTGTTTATCAGTTTGTGACGTCATTGCCTCGCTATTTATCAATTGCTTTATATATTTTTATCCCATTCATTCCCCTTTTTATCCCCCAAAACTTGTATTTCCCCATGCCTTTGCCCGGGTTATATGATTTGTATAATATTGCGTGCATGACATTTCACAAAATCTTTTATGAACTTTGAAGAATTGATAATATTTTTTAAATATTGTATTCATAATCATTGATTTTTATATAAATAGTTTATCAAAATTTACATTTTTCATGATTTAACTGAACAAAATTACTCTATATTAGTGCATCCACACAAAAACATGTACTATCAATATACATGTAACTTGAATGATGGTGTGAGTAAATAAAAATGTTAGGGGGGAAATCTGGAATTTATATCCTCAATATAAAGAAAACAATTATTGGAAAGTGAGGCAATGACATCACAGACTCATGAGTGAGTTGCCAATTTGTGTTGTGATTTTCAAAGTTGTTTGTGTCATCAAAAAATCATAACTTTCTTATTAGTTATCCAATTTTGCTCAAACTTTTTTGATTGGTTTGTCTGATTTTTCCGCCTCTACTGAAAGTACTGTTAGTTATTTTTGGAATTGACTTGCCCTGTAATGTCTTCACAGAAAGATCATATGAACAATACAGATATTAAAGATAAACTTGAGTTCTGGTAACGCGATTGCATTGTGAAAGAAAATGTGTGGAATGCATCAGAAAAGGTTGATCATGAAGCATGTAAGTATTGGTGTGTACTGCAAGGTTCTGGAGTCATCAAATTCATAATAAATTTGGCTCAGTCTTGGTAAAGTAACAAGCACACTACACAGAAAGATGTATATATGGGACAACACAAATGGTGTCGGGGCTAGTACTACCTGATTTCCTTATTGTTGTATTGTATTTATTTTCCAATCATATTAAAAAGACAATAACATATGACATAAAACGAAATGAAACATAACAGAATTTAAAAAAAATAAATTACATGTGTATATAGATTGCTTAAAAATGATTGGCTGGATTGGCCGTTCAGTGTCATAAAAATATATGACACTGTTCTTCCTGGGGGTCCAGGTACAATTAAAAGAAACATTACGTAAATAGAAATTTTAAAAATAATGCACAAGCTGCTGAGTATAACACTTGCATGTCCTCTTTCGTGTTAACCAATGAAACAAAACAATTAAAAGCAAGAAAAGGCTATACATTTACAATTGCTGAGATTTGCGGATAATTAACCCGCTATGCGCGAATCAGTAAGAGGAACGACTGCAAGAAAGAGAGATAGAGAGAGAGAGAGAGAGAAAGGGAGAAAGAGAAATAGAGAAGAACTCTCTTGCAAAGCGTGTGGAAGGCACATGTAACGCCTGGCGCGTCGGGGAAAGAAATCAAAGCAATTGAATAGGTGAATGAACAAGTACAAAATATGCTACCTTATTCACGGATCCCGGACGCGCCCAGCATAACACCATGTAATTCCAAACCCCACGCGAGAGACCCGCCCACTGTGTTGTCTAATTCTCTATCCGACAATCGATCCTCAACTATAAACGTCAATAAACGATTTTCCCTATGAGGCCAAAATTTATACACACGCCATCATCAAACGCTAATCAAAATGCCATACGCACACCTGACAACAAACTATCGCACCCCAATAGAAGGTACGCAGTGCTTGTTGCCAGCCGGGACAAGTTAAAAAGCTTATCCCAGCTAGCAACGCAAATGGGCAATTCCGTATGGGAAAGAGGAAAATCACCAAATTCTTAATTTGATCCAACTTCAATAATTAACATTTTCCATGTGGTCAAGAAATCACTTGTGATGGAACTGAAAACCGTTTTGAAATATCTTATACGGTTTTTCTGAAAAATTTATTTGAAGTTGGGGCTATTTTGGGGGCCACAATCACATGATCATGATTTAATTTCTTAAAATTCAGTGGAGCAATGTATTTAAAACTTATTCCTCTATATTTATTCCTAATTGAACAACATCACAAATAGGAATCAAGATTTGCAAATTATTTTCAAAAAATGAAAAAAGTTTTTGTGTGAGAGATTTTTCAATTTTACCCTTAAAATGGCGTAATTCCGTTACCAAAATTTGAAAGAAGTTTTACTCACAAAGTTATTTCTTACTTTTTTTTTTTGAAGTTGCAAATTCTCTTCCTTTATCTACCTACCAACAGCTCTAAACATTAATTTCAGAAGTATCTACTTATGTTCCTATCAAAACACTGGTAACGGAATTACATGGTAACGGAATTACATTGGTAACATAATTACAAGGGGCAGCAGCATTAGTAATGAGTGGTTCGTTTTTCAAGAGATGGACCTGCTGCCTCATGTACATATATGTATGCTGTGTTACAACATTTTTAATGGATTTTGCCCCCTTTTTTGAAGTAGTGGCTTATTATATTAACTGTCTAACTAAAGACTAAGGATCTGGCTTCGATAAATTCAATGAATGTTTTTAAAAACTTTTTTCAAATTTGCATAAAGACTACAAACTAGGCTGGGAATTTTAGATGTGTTTATTTTCATTCACTCTGAACTTGCAATTAAAATTGTACCAACATCTCTTATGAAACCTTTTGATTTAAGCATGGAAATACTTCATATTATTTCACCTATGGCGATTTTAAACAGTGCCTTTTCTGATTTTTATTCTTCACTGATCTCATCTAATCTATTGAAAAAAGAGAGAAAAATTTCATTAGAAGTTAGAAAGCTAAGACCATAGCGCACTAGCCCTCTTGCAGACTGTGAATTTCCCTACTCTACGTATTATACATGGGACTTTTAAAGGGAAAGGGGGGGGGGGGGGCAGGGTGACTTTGACAATGTCCGCTAGCACTCATAGAAAGTACCTCACGAAAACACCCTAAAAAACAGCTAGGTGGAGGTTGGAAAGCAAGGTCTACAATACATGTAAATACCAAAACAAAAAAAGGATAATTCATTAAAAGTTAGATGGCTATAAAAGACCATAGTGGACTAGTCTTCTTGCAGACGGACACTTTCGTTATATGGATGGGGCCATTGGAGGGGGGGGGGGGGAGGGAGGGGTGACTTTGAATCAGTCCGCTAGCACACAGAGAAAATACCTTTGCCGATGACTATACGTAGGTGGAGGTTGAAAAAGCAAGGTCTAATCTAGCGAAAAATATTTAATAAAAAGTAAAAAGGCTTTGGCAGGTACCGGACTAGTCCCGTTGCAGACGGTTACTTTGCCGACTCGTAACACGTAAAACATATGGGACTGAGGGAAGGTGTCAGGGTAACTTACTGTACAGGTCCGCTAGCGCTCAGAGCAAATACGTTAACAAGTGACAAGGTGGAGGTTGAAGGGGAAGGTCTAATCTATCAAAAAACATGTATTTTATTAGAAGTTACGTGTAGATGGCTACGACCATAGCAGACTGGCCCTCTTGCAGACGGTTAATTTCCATACTCTACGTGTTAAACATAAGGGGAGGGGGGGGGGGTGGCAGGGCGCCTTTGACTAGATTGCTAACGCTCAGAGAAAATATAACTGTTTGGAATGAAGAATGATGACAATGGTCAAGTTTGTTACATGTTGTAACAAATTCAAGACCACTGATCAAGTATGTAATTAATTTTAAAAGAATAATAACCAAATATTAAAGAATGATAACAATTTAGTGAATTGGCGTAATGATTTACAAGGTTTGACATTTTATTGCAACTCTGTTGATGACATTATCTTAATTAATTAGTTTTGAATCGGGTGCTAGCTTTTGTGGATTGAAATTGTAGTATGGAATCATCTGACAAGGTTTGTAATTAATTTTAAAAGAATGATAACCAGTGCTCCCTCTAAGGCTCTACCATTAATGTCGCAAAATTGGCTCAGCAGGTTGAAAAATTGGCTCGACAGAAATATGAGATAGGGGAATGATTTACAAATTCTGGTGTGAATATTATTGAAACGCTGTTGACAAAATGATAGCTATATTAAGCTCTCTTTATATAATTAGTTTAGATTATGGTGGTTGGCTTTATGGACTGAAATCATTATAAATAAATATTCATGTGTTTTGTTTTTAATTTACATCAAGATCCCTGTGTTGGGTGTAGGCAGTGTTATTAGTAGCACTTAAGTGATTTGGAATTGTTTGAATGCTTAAATGTAACCATCCACGACGAACAGGTTGTAATGTTGCAATTTTCAATCGATTTTGATCAAACCTGCATAAAATAAGCTTTGAAATAATGTATTGCATGTGGTATTTGCTAGGTTAATAGGCCCTCACAATAGTCAATAAAACAATTGAATATCCTTTGTTTCCTATTGAATACTGTGGAGTTTATTGACCTGTTTCTATAAATTGGTCTTGGCGACTTCACAACCAGTTTGTCATGTATGGTCACAAAAGTGATCTGTATATGTGTAATTCCGTTACCGCCAGATAGGCAATAATATATGTA